AAAATGAGATGCAAAGAGTAATGTCTGAGATGAGGATACGACAGCCATGACAAGATAACAGATAACAAAGATTTCAGAAAAAAGTGTTGAATTTGATTTTATATTCAACTGCAGCAAACCTAATCTCTATTTATGCTTTTTTTTTATTGGCTTTTGCCTTGATCTTTAAAAGCATGAGCAAAGCACACACACACACACACACACACACCGCTCTTTTGTACACCTAAACATTTCGTTGGTGTTCAGCTTTTTTACCGACTTGCACTTTGTGGCCATTGAACGATGAAGCCATGCTGCCTGTTGTGGATTAGGCAGGTCATCACGACTAAAATGTGCCTTCATTTTATTTTGAAGGAAAATGCTCAGATGTACTGTTTATGAGTGGAAAACACCTAAAATCTGTTAGGATGACTCACTATACAACGGTAATCAATTGGACCAAATTGGGCCTGTAGACAAAGACGGGAGGCGTGTGTGAATGTCCTGATCTTTGAATGCTGCAACGGAGGGGATCAGGGAAGACTTTATCTTTTAAATCCCCAGCCTTTGAATAGAAGCCTAAAGTAAAATAAGCTAAATGTTCATGTTTGGGCTGAAGTCACCTCTTGGTTTCCTCTTTCTGACACCATGACATTTTGGACAACAGATATTTTTAAGGTTTCTTTAGAAGATGATGGAGGTGGTTGCCCTGAACTGATGCAGATGGAAACACCTGACACTCAGGTGCGTCTGTCTCTGCGTTAACCATGGAAACCTGATTAACCACCTCATTAGCAGGATGCTCCTTCTAATTACTGCTGTGCTTTCAGTTAGATGTAATTAGGCTCTCGGATCAATCACATGTCATGCACTGATGAGGGGAGGTGGTGAAGCCTAGCCCAAAGGAGGCTGTCAGCTGGACTTCGCTCACTTCACGAAGACAGACCATGGAGGTTTGAGGAGGTACTGAATGGCTCTGCTTCACCAGCCAGGTCTTTCATCTGACACGTTTTTCTCAACAGCTGGCTTTCATTAAACCCCCCCCCCCCATGCTGCAGAACGCCGATTCTCACTGTGTGGGAACTGTTGTCAATGGCAACCAGCCTCCTCCTTTTATAGCTGTAGGTGTGGAGTTGTCATGGAAACCACATCCAAAACACACATCAATACTAGAGCAACAGCATGGTGCTCAGAGATGCTGTCAAATGTGTACACACCTGTCTGAAGGAACGTAAAAACAACCAGAGATCTCTGTTAGTATTCCTATTCCTCATACGTCCTGCAGCTGACTGCAGATCAATTACATAACAGCATCAGGGTGCGTGGGCCGGACTCATCAAGAAGAGGCTGCATGCGCACATACACACACACACACCTACCTGTCAGTACCACAACCAGAACCCTGATCCATCCTCCACTGTAATCTGTGATGTAACTTGGTCTTCTCCTTTAGCTCTAAACTGTAATTCTATTTGTGTGTGTTTTAATTTGTGTTTTTATGTGTTTTCATATCATGTCCTGATAATTTTAAAGCACATTGAATCGCCTCTGTGTTTTAAATGTGCTCTATAAATAAAGCTGCCTTGCCTTGCCTGACATTACTGAGCAGCACAGAAGCCTGGTGTTGACCCGGTGCAGAGGCAGCCTCTGGGATGGACCAGAACCACACTTCCACAGTGGCTGAAGAAAAGAGGAGTTATAGGATCCAGACCAGGGGTCTCATTTATCAAACATTGCATAGAATCCTTACTAAAACCGTGCTTAAGCTCAGCAAAAAAAAAAATGTATTCATGCCAAGTAGGTTTGTGATTTATCAAACATGGAGTACTCACAGCTGCACGCAATCTCCGCTTCATGAATCAGAAACTATCTAGAATGGTTCTCAGCTGCTTTTTAGTCATATCCCGCCCTCGCCACGCCCACTTACTGCCATAAATAGTCAATGCAAAGTACCTTGTGGACCTCATACATATAGATAAGCCGGCTTGTTGCAGCGCTCCGCCAATGACATGGCGAACGTAGATCAAGACAGATCAAGGAAGCATAATTTCACAGAAGCAGGAATTGAGGTACCTGTGGGTGAGGTGGAGAAATGAATGGAAGTACTTTTGCAAATCAAATAAGAGAAAATCCACGGAGTGGCACAGCGTTGCTGAAGCCGTCAATGTTGTGAAATCTTCAGCGAGATCTGTGGCGGATATAAAAAAATGGTCCGATCGAGATTCAATCCCCAGACTCCCAGGTGAAAGTTACGAACACTAACCAGTCAGCCAAACAGAGATCTCCCCTGTACAAGTAGCCAGGGCGCATGATCAATCGGGTCACAGTGACAGGACACACACTGCCACAGACGGATGGCATTATGTCTCAATCAGTCCCCCTGCTGATATTCTGCATTCCGTAATCTGCGCTTCAGTCTGTGTGTGTGTGTGTGCGCGCATGTGTGTGTGAGTGTGCGCGCATGTGTGTGCATGTGGGGGGTCTTGTTCTGTGTGAAAACGAAGCAGTACAAGTGATAATGCTGCAGGATTTCATAATTTTATCCTTCTCAGCAGCAGCACTGCAGGTGCTCTCCATGTCCAACATGTGCGTAAGCTAGCTGCTAAATCAACTTAAAGTTGCGCACATTTTTCTGCTAAGTTTTGTTTCATAAATCCCGAAGTTTGCGTGGAAAGTTGCTTATGCAGTTTTCCGACCCCGTTTTGTGCATAAGCAAGCTTGATAAATGAGGCCCCTGCTCATTAAGCCAGTCAGTAAAAAGTTTCCCATATAAGGAACCCAGCAGGTTGCATCGAGTCACTGACTAGTGTCAGACTGTAGAAGAAAGTAGTAGAGTGTGGAAGGTGGTCAGTATGGCCTCCAGCAGTCTAAGCCCGGTTTCACACTGAAAGCTTCAGCGGCACGAAACAGCAGCAGAACAATAGCCTGGCCTACCAGACTCATCCTCTGGTTAATTCTGCACAGAGAAAGAGTCTGGTAGCTCACAGGCAGAGAGGCACATGAGGGGCGGGACTAGGCAGCTCAAAAATAACCAATCAGAAAAAAGACGGAAATGCCGACTGTACCGCGTGTCAATGTAGTTTATTAGCTGTAGTAAAAACATGGCGTCTGGCAACAGCGCAAACATCTTTAGAAGAAAGGCTTTTAGCACTTCTACTTGTTGTGGTTTTAAAGACATTTGAGTCATTTAGAACAGAGGAAAGAGCCGCAGCGAACTCCGCTGCTGTCTTTGTTGTTTATGAGAAACTGAGCGTCGCTGTGTGTGACGTTCGCAACGCTGTAGTTTTTTAGCTGTAGTAAAAAATGGCGTCTGGCGACGGCGCAAACATCTTTTTTTTCTTTAGATGAAAGGCTTTTAGTGCTTCTACTTGTTGTGGTTTTAAAGAAGTGTCCAAGTCATTTAGAACAGAGGAAAGAGCCGCAGGGAACTCTGCTTCAGTCGCCATGTTTATGATGAACTCGGCGTTATGGTGTGTGACATACGCTGCTTAGCGCTGATTGGCTCGGTTAGAATTCTCAGGGGGCGGAGTTATTTGAATAGGCGAGTTCCTGGACCCTTTCTCTGTGCAGAATTAAACAGAGGAGGAGTCTGGCAGGCCAGGCAAGAGGAACGTCACCGCTTCAAATAGAATCCATTATAATCAATTGAGTGTTTCAAACCAGCAGCAACATGGCGATTTCCAGGCGCATCCCAGAAGTGGCACGCGACGCCGCTAAAGATAGTATCAGGTTCTATTTTTGCCATGTGTTGCTTCTGGGATGCTTCACTTTCCGTAGTTAACATAGGACTAGACAGGGATCACACACAGTTTCAGTGTAAAATCACCGGTAAATTTCAAAATAAAAGTACTGCAGTGATGCAATTCCATATGTATGAAGCTTACATGTGACCCAATTATTTACTCACAGCATCGTTCCAGAAGTGCAGCGGTGTGTTTGTCATGGCTTTATTCCTGGCAGTGGAGAGGAACAACATTATATGTGGCATCAAACTGCGATATCAAACGTGAATTCCTTATTTTTGGTTTAATGATGAACCGTGACAAGAAGTCTCAAGAGATCTTGTAATCTCGCTAGTCCAGCGAAGAGCTCAGTGAGGACGCCGTCCTGCTGCCAAGACTCCCGGTGTGAAAAATACCGCTTTGAAGTTTGCGTGTAAACCATTTGGCTGCCGTTTCACATTGCTGATGCTTCCAGTGTAAAACCAGTCTAAGCCTATAGCAGCATAACTACAGAGATAACTGGATAACCTAGCCTTTTAGATGGTGGCATGTTGGAGGCAGGACAAGGGAGAGTCGTCTTTACCGACTGTACACTCCACCTCCCTCTACACCCCCACTTGTCCAGATCTGGGCTAACATCAGATTTTAACCATAGGCCCTATCAAATAAAAATGTTTTAATCCTAGTCTTAAAAGTAGACAAAGTGTCTGCCTCACGGACTAAAGCTGGGAGCTGGTTCCACAGGAGAGGAGCCTGATAACTAAAAGATCTGCCTCCCATCCTATTTTTAGATATTCTGGGAACCACCAGTACACCTGCAGTCTGAGAGTGAAGTGCTCGGTTAGGAACATATGGAACAATCAGGTCACTGATGTATGATGGAGCTTGATTATTAAGAGCTTTATATGTGAGAAGGAGGATCTTAAAATCTATTCTGAATTTAACAGGCAGCCAATGTAGGGAAGCTAAGACAGGAGAGATATGATCTCTCTTTTTAATTCTCATCAGAACTCTAGCTGCAGCATTTTGGACAAGCTGAAGACTTTTAACTACATTCTGTGGACTTCCTGAGAGTAATGAATTACAGTAATCCAGTCTTGATGTAATAAATGCATGAACTAGTTTTTGAGCATCACTCCTGGAAAGGATGCTTCTAATCTTAGCAATATTCTTCAAGACAATGTAGAACCATAAAAGAACCACTGGGGAACTTCATACCTCAGACTGTCACAGCCTTCAATCTGAGCTGGTACCTGTAGATGTGGAAAGGGCCCTGGCAGGAGCAGGTCTACGTCTCACCTCGTGTGACATGTAGAAGGCAGCGATTCCGAGTGGCCAGAAGCAGCAGAGCATGGAGAAGACGCTCAGTCCCAGATGATCTCTGGGGGGCATCAGCAGGAAGGTGTCCTCACTCTCAGACTCACTGGAGTATTCGCTCTGACCAAATACAGAGAGGAGATTACTCATTCACAGTACCAGAATCAGTAGGAACTTTCTCAGAAGTTCTGGAGCTGTTGTTAATGTTCTAGCAAAGAGGAATTCTTGAAACTTGAAAAACATGACTCAGCTAATTCTCTGTTGAATGATCTTAAAAGCTAACTTTATCTGAAGGGTTAGGGTTAGGAGGCAGACAGACAGAACTTCACCAGCAACCCTAAGTCTTAAGACAGCCTTCCACTGCTGAATGCCTCAGGAGTCAGGACATCTGCTCCCACAAGAACACCAGATGGTTGTACATTTGACAACATACATTTACATATATACCTGTAAAAATGAGGTGGACTATCACACACTGTGAACTGATATCCCCACCATTACTATTAAAACTATAGCTGACAAAAATTATGCAACATAAGTTTTATTTTGAACCGTTCAGGATGTGCCTTGTTTAAACAAGTCTCACTTCCTGTCTAGCTCATGTAACTTCATGACAATTTGCACGCCGCAAAATATCTGCTCCACTTGGAAACTTTCCAGAGCTCCACATCTGGATCCACAAGACTCCACAGCTGGATCAACACTCAGGTTGGACACAACAATTTTTGATCTTTGCCTCAGCTGTAGCAAAGTGAGGGGTATTACAGTTTTCTCGACTGCTTAAGGAGCAAATCACCTCCAAATCAACTTGTTTTTGCGGATAATCTACATAAATGACTGTCTAATCCTGCTGCAGACAATCATTTGGCGCTTTAGTGCAACTTCGTTCTACTTTAAATATTTTGCCTAAAACTGTTGGTGTTGCACCGTCTTCAGGTAATAACTGCACTACATGTGAATTTAAATCTGCCGTCGCTATTGGCTAAGAGGTACCGTGTGATGTTAGCGTGTACCATGTGATGTCACAATGTATGTATGTGTGTGTTTGTTTGCTCTCTTGGTCTGCAAAGCAGCACCTTTTTGTGGCGTATCTTTCAAACAGGAAATTGGAGTGGAGTTAGTTTACGTTCACACTGCAGGCCGTGATGCTCAATTCCAATTTTTTTAGTAAATCAGATTTTTTTGTGTGGCCGTTCACACTGTGACTGAAATGCAACATCAAACTCTCTCCAGTGTGAACGCTCCACGGTCCCAAAGCGACCCGCATGCACAGAAGAGAAGAAGTCACACTCAGTGGAGCTGAAACCAGGAGAGGCGGAGTTGTGACGTGATCCTTATCCTGTGGATAAACTATCAGTGAAAACTTTCACACCTGTTAATTCTTTCGTTTTGGGCTGGAAACTGTTTGTAAAACTGTTAACTATTTTACTCATTGTTCCCGCCGTCTCCCTGAATTATTATTTATCGAAAATGTTCCGGTATTAATTCATTCACATAGAATCCCTCTCTCACAACCAATCTTGTGAACTCAAATGCCTGAACCATAATGCTATTTCTGGAAAAGCGCCCATCAACAATGTTAAGTGTTGACTTTGGAACACGGACACTTCGGTTAACTCTGGTGTTCAGAGGTGGTATTGCAGCAAGAGGACTAATTTTCGAGTCACTGGGATGTTGGTTCACTGCTGATACGTTCCAGCACCATGATCAGAGACAACTCATACAGGATAAAGAGTCAATTGTACTAATAAGTTCATTTTACAATAATATTTACTGTTAGAACATCTCCTGGGCTCAGAATCAGCTGCTTGACTTGTCAAGTCTGCCATTTACACGGTCTCAGCCTTGCCTTGCTGAGCGGATGTTTTAGCACAACGGTGCCCTCTAGTGGCTGGTAGATGTAAACATGAACACAGTGTTGTGCCCGACAGAATGAAATTTTGATTATTTCTCTTTTTAAATATAGCTTTAAAAGGATTAACTGTAAATTCATTCTGCACACCTCTGAACGCCCCGTGGAGGGGCTTTTTATTAAAATGTTCCATATTCTAACTTTAACTAAAGTCGGCACAGCTTGAGCTCAACTAGCACCAACTGGAAACACCAGGCGTCACAATTTAACACGCACCAATCAGAAATCAGGACAGATGAACGGGCCAAAGTCAGTTCATGCAGGTTTGAAACAACGGATCCAAGGAGATGCAAAGGTAGAGGAGGAGGAAGTCTACATCAGACTGAAGGAGGTGGAACAGGAGGAGGAGACAGAAGTCTAGGACACCAGGGTGAAAGAGGAGGAGGAGGAAAAGGAGGAGGTCTGGGAAACCAGGGTGGAGGAGGTAGAGGAGAGGAGGAAGAGGTGGAGGAGAAGGAGGTCTAGGACACCAGGAAGGAGGAAGTAGAGATGCTGGAGAAGGAGAAGGTATAAGAGGAGGAGGAGAAGGGCATCTGGAAAACCAGGGTGGAGGAGGTGCAAGAAGAGGTAGAAAATGAGGAGGAGAACCACTTAAGACACTTAACCCCCAGCCTGTTGGTGGTGGTCATAGGGACCAGTAGTGCTAGTGCTCGGCAGATTCGCCTCTATCAGTGCGCCCCAGGGCAGCTGTGGCTACAATGTAGCTCATCACCACCAGGGTGTGAATGTGTGTGTGAATGACTGATTGTGTTGTAAAGTGCCTTGGGGGGTTCCAGGACTCTAGAAGGCTCTATATTAAATACAGGCAATTTACCATTTTTAACAACAGTTTCTAAATGACACCAAAACAAACCCAGCTCCATGGACTCCTAATCCTCTTCTAATCCCTCTGGAATAACTCTGATGAGGAGACATGTATTATAAACTACAGATGAAACTAAAACAAATGTCGATACATACAACAGTTTGTGGTGTTTCACAGACTAAAACAGCTCCATGTAGTCCTGTCCCTCTCCTTTCTCCTCTGGACAAATTGTATGATGGTGGGTCCTTGTAGTTTTATAAACTGATAATTACAGTGAAGCAAACATCTCTGCTGTGAACTACATTTACTCTGCATCTTCATTCCTTTTGCTGTTCTTTTTCAGACCGTTCATTTTTCCAACTCAGAAGTTGGAATGTCTGAGGAGAAAGTGAACGCACCATTAGCTATGTAAACAAAAGCTAAACTACCAAGCTAACGTTATCAAACTATTTAGCTGATGGAGCAGATTAATGCAACGATTAATGGGCTCGACACACGGGAGGCGACATCGCCTCTCCTCCATTCATTTTCAATGAGACATGCGCGACAAAGCGATGATCGCGGGTCTTTCTCCTACCAAGCGAAACGCGAAAAACGTGAGTGTGAAATTTTGCGCTCGTGCACGTGTCGTGCACAGGCGACCCAGCGACGCGATCCCATAAAGTTGAAACATTTTCAACTTTTCATCGCTGTCGCTCGGACGAGGACCAATCAACGGAGGTTTCATTCACTGACCAATGAGCAGACAGGATGCTCCGTACATCTCCGAGCAAACATGGAGGAGAAGTTGATTATTATTATGTTTTATATAGTAAAATCAGAAGTAAGATTTCACATAACTCTAGCAGCACCTTGTGAAACATCATATCTACCGCTTTATTAACTCTGAACCGCTTAAATAACCTTAATTCCCTCCAGCCTGACACAGCCAATCAAAACAACGGAAGTTTCGATTTCGCCATGGGTCAGAACGCGTAGACGGCTTTGCCGCTGCCGCAGATCGCCTCCCGTGTATCAGGTAATAAAAGCGACGGCGACAAATTTCGCTGATCGCGGTCGTTTGTCGCCTCCCGTGTGTCAAGCCCATTAGACGCCTCATCCTCAGATCGTTGTTGCTGGTTTCATCACCACCCAGCAGCCCATCGCATTTAGTGAAGTGGACCCAAACTTCACAATGCTTCCTCTCTGCCATGCTGTTTGTTTACAGCTCGCCCACGGTGACTGACGACGTTACGCTTTTGCGCTCTGTGTGTGTGTGTGTGTGTGTGCGTGTGCGTGTGCGTGTGTGTGCGTGTGCGTGTGCGTGTGCGTGTGTGTGTGTGTGTGTGTGTGTGTGTGTGTGTGTGTGTGTGTGTGTGTGTGTGTGTGTGTGTGTGTGCATGTGTGTGTGCATGGTCGTTTGTTCTGTGTGTCTCTGTGTTGCCCTGCGATGGACTGGCAACCTACCCAAGGTGTACCCTGCTAGTCTGCCCAGAGAATGCTGGAAATCGGCACCAGCCCCCCTGCAACCCTGCGTGGATGAGCGGCTATAGAAAACGGATGGATTGAGGAACAAAGCTAACGAGTCGTATAACGAAGCTCAGGGAAAGTGTGGTGGAAGCTAGGCTTATGTCAGAAGTGAACATTTGTGAGCAGCGGTACATCCCCCTCGCCACTTACGCCTTGCGGATTTTGCGTGATTCACGTAGGCAGAGCGTTGGCGCTGGTTTAGGAACAGTGTCCATGAGGAAAAGACAGGAGGCAGAACTGGAGTTTGCAGAGCTACAGATGTTGAGGTTCTCATTGCGAGTGACAAGGATGATAGGATCAGGAATAAATTGTACAATAAAACAAATGATTTTGTTAGTGGCGTCAATCAACAATGTAACGTTTACTGGGTGAGTTAGTGACGGTGTTTTAGTGACCTCAGTGTTATTTCATGGACCCGAGACTAAGCTGTACTGCAGAACGGACGGTGGTGTCTCGTCAGGTGCGATCTGCAGTAAGTCAGGAACATGTTTGTTAACTAAAGTGTAAGTTCCTAGGGTTTGTGTTGATTAACACCCTCACTGCTTAGACAGTGTGACCTCACCTCCAGCTCCTGGAAGTCATCCTCTTCATCGATGTCATACGACAGCGTGGGAATCTTTGTGTCTTCACCACAAAACTCCAGAAATTTACCATCAGCAAACAGTAGGACCTCCTTTGTGGAGGGGGAGGCATAAGGTGCTTGACCCTCAATGAAAGTGGTTTCACAGCAGTCTCCTCCCCCAGCTTCTCCCCATGTGTGCAAAATACTGTTGGGGCACAGGAAGAGTCCAGGGCCTGGTTGGAGGCTGGCTTCTGGTACCGCCTGGTTTGGTAGGAGTGCCCTAGGTTTCAGGAACTGAGGAGGAGTCCTACTATGCTCCTGGGCACTCACCACGTGTCCATGATACACGTCCTGAGGCTCCACTCCCAACCTGTGGGTGTTGATGAGTCCTCTTCCTGCTCCCTCTCTCAGTAAGCCGGTTTCAGGCTCTTCTTCTCGTCCCTCCTCCTCTGCTCCTCCCTCCATGTCGCTCTTTTCCCTCCAGCACCTCCTCAGAGGCTTTTCCAGAGAGGCCAGATGTTAGGGGTCCACTTTCCTGAGAAACAGAAAATTAAAATGGTTTTAAAAAGGCTCCTTATCCACATGGCATTTCACCAGAAACAAAGTTAAGCTGAATGTTTCCATGGAAACAGTGGGCTGGCTTTAGTAATGTAGTTCATTAATCTGTCAGGAATTTTGACACAAAATCACATTTTAAGCAATGTTTGAGCTTATTGTGTCTAGGTTTACATGTTTGAGCTTACTGTGATGAAACCAAGGTCAAGGTAAATGGTGTTGTAAGCTTCATTTATAGTTAATTTGAGTTAGGTCATGTGCTTGAGTTATTCTGTCAATCCTTTCTTTGGGCTTCCGTAGTTTCCGACAGGAAGTGATATTCTTGTTGAACTTGTAAAAAATATTAATAAAGGAGCTACGGCAGAGCGACACGGTTGTTTTACCGTTGGCGTTGCAAACAAGCCGTCTCAATGAAAGAAAACAGTCTCCTCTCCTTTATTTAATGTTCAGAAGTGGTATCAGGTATTGATATGAAGACCAGAAAGGTAAAAGAATAAATTCGATCCTACAGGTGTCAAGCAGAAGTTTCATAGGTTCTGTTTAAATAAATGCTGAAACAAAAACGTATGTTGCTTTGATCTCCCTCTGAATAATTGGTGGTGTTTTATTATATAATTTTCAAAATAATTTAACAAAACAAAGGAATGCAAGACGTCATAGCACCCCTACATCTTATACCACCAAACCAAACACTAACATAACAGTCAAATACTAAAGCAAGTCTGCAAGCAATATACTAATTAGCTCAAATAGATGAGATGCATGGGCCTAAAAACTAAGGAGTTATGAGCAATATGTAAACTTTCCTTTATCGACTGAAATTTTTTTTTGCATGCCAGAAATAGGGTCACTCTGAATATGAATATTCTTTACCTCTGTTTAATAAAATGCAATGGGAACGAAACATGTCAAACTCTACAAACATTTTCAGGCAAATAAGATAAGGACAATTAGCCAATTGAAATCATTTACAATACAGCTCTGATCAATGACGCTAATGTTGCAGCAAAAACACTTAACTCACTCACTGCCAATGACGACTAAAGTCGTCATTTGCATTTTTTACTGTTTGGGCATCGGAACGAGCGTCACGTGGTCAGGAAGCAGAAAATCCATGTGTTAGGAGATCGTTTTGGGCCTTTCCTGTAAAAAAAAAGTGAGGCGCGAACCAAAAAAGTGTCTGCCGATCACAATTCGACAACGGATTATGAAAGAACGGATAACGCTCGAAACATGCGGATTCTTCCTGATGTAAGAGTTGAGTCTCCTCTTTGTTTTGGTTGTTTTGGCGTCAACATCATCCTAGTGCGCAACGTTCTGTCACTCTTAAAAAAACAGTAAAAACGGCGAGAAACGCTGGCAGCGAAGGCCTTTAGCGATCAGGAAATGGCTGGCAGCGAATTAGTTAATGATTTATTCTTTAATAGTGTATCCAACACTACAAGGCTCTTCTCCCCTTCAAAACCCCAACTGCTATCAACAGGATAGTGCTGAAATAGATACAAACCCTATAAAGGCCCATTCTGAAGCATTAGTCAGATCTATGAAAATCTTTTAATTACACAAAAAATAGTCCCGTCATCCTGGAAGGGGGCTACAATTACACCAATTTTGAAGGCAGTTTTAAGGCAGATGTAGCAAATAAGCATCTTACCACATGTTTCTAAAATGGATGGAAAAATGAGTAGCCAGTCAGCTAATTGCTGAAGAATTGCCTTTAGCCATTGAGTCGAGTACAGTTTAGTTTCTGAGCAAAAAACCTTCCACTGAGACGGCTATCTGTTTGTTTATTTAGATGGTTAAAAGATTGTTACACACTAACCAACACATAGGTGTCATTCTTAAATTGCAGGTTTCTATTGGTGATCACAAATCAAAGCGGATCACCATGACATGTGGAGTCCCCCAAGGCTCAGTTCTTGGACCACTGCTCTTCCATCTCTACACGCTCCCCCTGGGTCAGGTTATAAACAATAACAACATTACCTATCATAGTTATGCAGATGACACCCAGAACTACCTAGCTCTATCACCTAGTGACTGTGGTCCCCTAGACTCACTATCAGTGTTTGGAGAAAGTTAATGAGTAGATGCAATCAAACTTCCTCCAGTTAAACAAAGACAAGACAGAAGTTATTGTCTTTGGAAGTCAGAAGGATAGAATGGAGGTTATTGCTCAGCTTGGCTCCAGAGGAATAAAGACAAAGATCCAGGTTAGAAGTATTGGTGTCATAATTGATTCAGACCTGAGCTTCACTGGTCACATTGAGGCTATAACTAGATCAGCGTTTTATGATCTGCAACAAATAGCACGACTCAGAGGTCTCATGTCCAGACCAGACCTAGAGCAACTCATTAATGTGTTCATTTACAGCAGGCTGGACTACTGCAGTGGTCTCCTAACTGGTCTTCCAAAAAAGCTGTGAAGCAGCTGCAGCTTGTTCAGAATACTGCTGCTAGAGTCTTAACAAGAACCAGGAGAACCAAACACATCACTCCTGTTCTTAGATCCCTACACTGGTTACCAGTAAACTACAGAATCCATTTCAAAGTGCTTCTACTAGTTTATAAATCACTCAGTGGCATGGGGCCATAATACATGTCAGATCTGCTTCAGGTATCTACGCCCAGCAGGGCTCTGAGATCCTTAGGAAACCGTGAGCAATGCTGTGGGAGGAGCGCTTGATTTGCAACTCGGAGCAGTGCAAGAGGGAGGCACGAATAATCGGCTCATTTTGTTCAATGGTTCAAAACTGATCATAATTGTGATTAAAATGTTTGTATTTATGTATTCATTGACTTGTATTCTTCAGGAGGTTTAACTGCTTGAGATGCAACATCTCGTTTTCGAGCAGGTCCTCCTACGTTATGTGTAAAATAAGAATTTGGATGGCTGCGTTAATAGATCACCAAAAAGAAAGGAAACATAACTTGACTTAACTCAAAAAAAAAAAAGCTTTTGGTGAAACCCAAACATATGGGGGCATTAATGTGTACAACAGCAGTACAACTGACAGTAAACTGTCAAAATAGAAGTAGAGCGATGTAAAACAACGGTGCAGCAATACTAATACAAAATCAAACAGTAGCAGAACAATTACAAGTCAATCTCACATGGTTGTAAATAGAACTGCGAAATAATCTAAATGACAAAATCGATCTCAAGTGTAACGTCCAAAAGGGTAAATTTTCACCTATATATTGACCAACATAATTACCTTTCGTCTACAGCATAAATCCACTTTCTGTTTGGCCTTCCGATTCCAAAAGGTTCTGCTCAGTGCTTGTTTACATACAGGAGACAAAACATCCAGACATACATTCTCTCCCAAGGTTCTTGCACTCTCTGAGTGAACGCCAGACGTCAACATTCTTCACTCTGAATAAGTGAAGACTCCATGATTTTACAGTTATAAGTTAAATAATCATATGTGATGAATGAACATGATGTTTAAATCAAATTTTTGAATAATCTGTGCTTAAATCAATGAATTTAAAATGAATATTGTTCTTACAATGATCCATTTATATCACAAATCAGTATGTGTTGATTTAACAAGTTAATATTTATTTACACTCGTGTGTGTGTGTGTGTGTGTGTGTGTGTGTGTGTGTGTGTGTGTGTGTGTGTGTGTGTGTGTGTGTGTGTGTGTGTGTGTCTGCTCTGTCTTCTTGATCCCCAGTGAGTCATGTTGGATGGCTGCTTATACTGAGCCAGGATCCTCTGGAGGTTTCTTCCTGTTAAAAGGAAGTTTTCCTCTCCACTGTCACTGCATGCTTGCTTAGTATGAGGATTGCTGTAAAGTCACTGACACTAGTCAGTGACTCGATGCAATTTGCTGGGTTCCTTATAAAGGAAACTTTTTTCTGATTGGCTTAATGAACTGACCTGTATTGGAATGTTTATGTGAAGGTCATTGTCTTGTCATGATTTGGCGCTATGTAAATAAGCTTGAATTGAATTGAATTGAACTGCAATAAGATACATATTAAGGTTAAAAACATGTTTGTATCTAAAGGAAGGCGTGGCTTTCTGAGGGATGCTGGTAAATACTCAGAAATGTGTCAAATTCTGATTGGCCAAACTTGGCCAGAAATCATAACAAAGTGGTTTAATGAAACAAGAATTACTTCCCGAGTAACTCAATTTCCAGCTGACTTCTGATTCGGCCAAATCGAGAAAAAAGCCTCTTTTGAAACCATCTTATCCTTAGACCTCCTGTCAAAGCCTCTGCAACGCTGTGGCTGATACCAGACAACAGGCTCTTCTACGAGCCAAGCAAACATCAACCTTAGACTCAAATAAGCATTCCAGCCTCCTGCCTTCACCATGAGGGATCTCCGACTGGACGGGTCCTATCAGAACTATCTACGGGTTCCTGTTATCAGAGGTTCACTCCCCTGGAAATGACCATCGACCCCCCTGGATCGAACGAGAACCTCCACACCAAGGGTGCGTAGACTTGGCACGACAGATTGCATCTGATGCTGTTTTTAATAAATAACCCTCTAGTTTATAACAAACAACAAATTCTCTTACACCCAAATTACACAATTTCTCTCAGATACAAAGAACGGTTGCTACAACATCTAGCTTCCATCACAACACCTCACATCCACCACACCACATCTCATTATTCATATCTTGTATGTCATGTATCAGTTTAGGAAAAAGAATTAAATGCATTTTATAAACTATATACTTGACTCTGTCTGAATTAATACGAAGTGTGTTTATGGTCTCTGAAGAAGAAAAGAACCCTAGAATCTTCTAATTAAACATTGAAAGATCAATCAGATTGATATTTCATATTTATATGGAATCATCACATCTTATTGGTCATAATTAATATGTTTTAATTGCCACACAATATTCAGGTAAATTATTCCAATCCCGAGGAGCTTTAACACAAAAGGTGTATCTCCACTTCTTTTTTAAACCAAAGAATGGCAAAGAAAAGCTGATCTGGTATACGCGTGTAACACAAAGAGTTAAAGGGCACTAACAAAACTTTCAAGTAAGAAGGAAAATCAGAATAATACATTTAAAATAATAATATAATATAATATAATATAATTAATATAATATAATATAATATGAGAACCTCCCACTCCGTGAGTTGGTGTGTGAGGTTGAGAGATTCCGACTTGATATAGTCGGACTCACCTCAACGCATGGCTCTGGCTCTGGAACTAGTTTCCTTGAGAGGGGTTGGACACTCTACCACTCTGGAGTTGCTCCCACTGAGAGGCGCCAAGCAGGGATGGGCATACAAAATGCCCCCCATCTTGGAGCCTGTACGTTGAATGAGAGGGTATAGCCTCCCTCCGCCTACGTGTACGTGTGGGGGGATGGGCTCTGACTGTGGTCCGTGCTTATGCACCAAACTTCAGTTCAGACTACCCACTCCTTTTGGAGACCTTGGAGGGGGTGCTGGACAGTGCTCCTTCCGGTGAGTCCCTCATTCTGCTGGGGGACTTTAACGCTCACGTGGGCAACGACAGTGAGAGTCAACCCTCAACCGTCACAGCAGTCGAGGGTTTTGCCGCTGGAAATGCTAACGTTAGCTAACCTTGCAACACTATAGATGGTTTTCTGTGTGGCTGTATGTGTTTATGATTTCATAGAAAAGTCAGCGATTGTTCAGATGTTTATGATGTATATTAATGATTGTTTCAGGTGTTTTTGTGTCAGGAGGTTTTGTGCACACCTGTATATCTGCTAGTGTTGAAGGTGTTTTAGAGAACAATAGGTACGCACGACCACTTCCTTCATAGCACCCTCAATAAAAAGACTATCTCCTTCATAGCACCTGCAGAAAAAAATGTCTGGAGCCGCCACTGATCTGAAGAAAAATAATAACAAAGGTACATGTATATATATGCACATAGGCTGTAAGCTATTATTGTAACCTTCAACCAGAGGTGTGGACTCAAGTCACATGACTTGGACTCGAGTCAGACTTGAGTCATTATTTTAATGACTTCTGACTTGACTTGATAAAATCTATAAAGAATTACGACTTGACTCTGACCTAAATGCCAATGACTTGCAACTTGAATCGACTTGCATCTGTTGACTTGATGATGACTTGAGCATATTTGATATTTTAGCACAAAAGTGACACGACATGGGCAAACATCATGAATCATTCTTCGTTCTGAGTGTGATCTGCTAAATGCAGCAGCACTTTCTGCTTGTTTGAGTGAATAAATGAAGCTTTAAGAAGCTTTATTTCTGGAATTCATTCATTATCATTGTCATTAAATTGAAGTTGGACAGATGACTTGATTATGACTTGAAAATTCCAAGTTAAGGACTTGGACTTGACTTGGACTTCCACATCAGTGACTTTGTACTTTGAAGGTGGAGTGATTTCTATTGCCAGACTCATCGGCTCCATAGTTCCCTTTCTACCGAAATGGGGGTTCGAGGACCTGGCAGTCTGGATCTGTACAGAGGTCTCATCCTAAGGGTATGTGTGGAGCGACAAAATGGCGTCTTATGTGTTTATGAAACCCCGATCATAGCTTAAGAGCAAAACATCACTTCATCACTCAGACTTGCTTCTCCGGATACGAGAGTTCTGATGACATCACTCACACATACACCATTCATCTCACGTCTCATTCACACCAAGATCCATTCATCACTTAGAGTTTAGAGTTAGTCTTGTTTAAAATTGTTTAGAAATAAATCTTCTTAAACATTTTAAAGGTGACTCCCTCTTCTCGTCTCTCAGTTAATACGAAGTGTTACATAATCTCTGCAATTAAAAGGTCCAATCTTCTGGTTAAAAGTACCCAAAGATCCCTGAGATTGATTTCATGTTTACTATGGAATCTCATGTCTTATGGTTCGTTAAATAGATGTAAATTAAATCATTACAAGCAGCTTTAGCACGATGTGCATGTTCAAAACATTTTTCTTGTAGCAACAAATTTTACTTTCTGTGGTTGTTAGTACAATCATGAACAGCATGTTCCCAAACTGCGTCTGTATATTTGTCAGTGGAAAATAATTTTTAAAATCCTTTTGAAATGCTCAAATTAAAATGAAGCCTCATCATGCAAAAGTATAGCTATGCAATTCCAGTATTTCACCAAATGTTGCTTGGATAATCATTTCTACATTAACAGGCCCGGGAATGTGGTGAATAGAGTTTTAAGTATGCTATTGGTGTAATGTTGGGATTTTAAACATGCATTTTCACAAATATAATCTTGGTAACCTCAACCTCAGACAAACTTGAGGGGCCCCCTTGTGGGAGTTGCAGACCCTAATTGGGAACCATTGCTTTAGTCTTTGGAGGTTGCTAACATTGGAATACCCTTCCAAATATTATCAATCAATTGTTATCAACACTGGCTTTCAGGGTAGCTTTGAGCTTCAAATGTGAGAAGTTATAGATCGTTCATGGGTAGCTTTAAAACAGCTTGAACTTTTGTAACCCTTCATCGTAATGGGAACGTTAATGAAGGGACCGTTTGTTCATTAATGCTTAATAATGTAACGTTAATGAAGGGAAAGTTATTTTAAGTGTTACCAAACACTTGACTGGTTGCATTGTATTTTTAACCGTACATGCTGTTGGCTTGTTATTGTGTTGTTTATTTCATGGAACTGTGATGGAAATGGCATCTGGCTAAATGCAGTCTATTCATGGCATGCACCCAAATCAAGTGTTGGACCAGTTGGTGGAGTTCTGTTTTACACCTGTTGGTGCCTATCCTCTGTTGAGTTTGATAATCCCTTTATGATGTTTCTGTGGTTTTGTGTTTGCAGCCCTAAAAATCCACACGAACACGCGCACGTGTGTTTACAGTTAGCAAATGGACAATGTACCAAAACCTCGTAATAAAACCCGGACACTGGCTCTGACGTAAACCCGGCTAACGCGCGCGCGCGCGCACACACACACACCTCACAAGGTGAGACATAGCGTCTGTCCGTCTGAGGGGGGCTCTTCTGTCCTCTGATCGTCCTCAGAGAGCTCCGAGTTGGACACGCACCCAACAGAGTGCCGCCGAGAGGCTCCGAGTCAACGAGCCGGGAAAGAAGCGATGTGAGCGGTTAGGCAGCGGGCAGGTGTCCGTGTGGCTTGGAGCACTCTCCTGCGGAGAAGAGCTGAAGAAGAGGAGAGAGCATCAGCTGCTCAGAGTTTACTGCCAGGACGGAGAGGGGAGGAATGTGCACTGAATGCTGAGGAGTGAGTGTGTTTGGGGTGTTTTCATTTCCTCTCCATGGTCCTAAAGCCCCAAGATCCGTTCAGAACATCTCTGGGTCTTCATGAAAGGATTCTTTGCTTCGGATGAAGCCCTGCTTAGATCTGCTGGTCCAGTCAGATCCTGGTTTTACCCTGTAAACAAGTATAAAGGCGACGTGTGTGTGTGTGTGTGTGTGTGTGTGTGTGTGTGTGTGTGTGTGTGTTTCAGAGAGATGATCAAGCAGCTCGACCCAGGTTACCATGACAACTACCTACCAGACTGATCCCATTTCACAACCATGATGGAAAAGAAGAATTAAACTACTTTTAAGGTGTGTGTGTGTGTGTGTGTGTGTGTGTTTCTCTCTGGACACATAATATAAACATTAGAATAAAATACATTTTATGATCAAATAAAAAGGTTGCTGACTGAAGTGTCAAGAAACTAATATTTTTAAAGCATCAACCATTTTCTTTGTGTTAAATCTTAACCTACTTTATTAGATGTTAAATAATTATTAATGTGGTAAGTGAACTAACTTTAATATCTTTCAACTTTACGGTAAAGCAGACCCTCAGAGCATTCGATGGTCCCTGACTGCTGACGTGCGGACCAGCCCTGGTACGGAAGCGTACCTTTGTGTGCCCCACTATTTCCTGAGTTATGATTGGTAGATGAAGCTCTACATTTCATGCTGCGAGCGCAGGAGGATTGGACCCAAAACGCAGAACACCACAGTACTCAAGGCTGGAGAGATCGTTTAAAATAAAAATCTTATTAGGAAAACCAAGACTGTAAGACTCTAAGCAAAAGAAATTCTAAAGTTCTATAGACGAAAAACCAAAAGCTCACTCATGAGCCAGGAACTATAAATCTAGAGGACAAAGCAACGCTAACATAAGACAATGAACCAACAAACACTGGAGATACAGACAGGGTTAAATACACAGGGCTGGGGTGATAGGAGACGAGGAGCAGGTGCGTGGGGAACTGGGCACAGGTGAAACAAATAACAGAGGAGGAGCAGAACGGAGCAGGGGAGGAAACCAGACCTAACTGGGGAAGGGAACACACACACACACACACACACACTAAAGGAGACAAATGAAATAATAGACATATAGAAACTACAGTGGGAAGACTAAGAGAACATGAAAACCTGGAGGAAGCTGGGGACAAAAAGAGCTGGGGGCTTCAAGGACACAGAACACAACACTACAACCTTGCCACCATGCCTCTTGTGATCACAAGTCATTTACCTCCATCTGACTGTAGCATTTGTATTAACAGGTTACAAAGTTAATTAAAGTTGTTGATAAGCTATCATCTTGTCTTTTTTTATTAGATGGCACATAGCTGATCACACGTCAGACTAGAAGCTAATGATGATATATTAGAGCGTCCTGGTGCAATAAGCCAGGGCCGGCTTTGCCGACAGGCGACACAGGCGGCCGCCTGGGGCGCCATCTGATGGATAGGGCGCAAAATTAAAAAAGAAAATAAGGAAAAAAAGTTTATTAAATTTATGTTTGTTATATGAAAATGCACTCTACATACTCAAAATTCCCCTCTGAAATGACATGAAATTAAAACATCAATCCTGTTGTTGTCGCGTTTAAACTTTTGATATTTTACGATGAAAAGTATCGGAATCAGCATTCCCAAAGCGAAGGAAGGAGGAAGAATAAAAACGGGCCCAAAGCAGAGGTATGTAGACTTTATAAATTTGGCAAAGGAACTTTTTGCGTTACAATTTTAGCTAACTGCCTCTCCTGCCATGCACGGTCCACGGACGGACCCTCGCTAGCTGTTTACATACACAATAGAGTATCTGTAACTTTAACCAATTAATTTTACTTTTGAATCGTCGTGTCCAGAATAACTGCAGCCACGACAGGCACCTGTTGACACCACGGGGGCGGGACTGTCTTCTACACCTGTTGAGTCTCACTGTGAAGATGAAGAATGTAAGAATTTTTTTTACCCTTTTTTGGAGTGTGATTGCAGCTTTTTTATGAACTTCGATTCAAGTTTTAAGTACGCATACAATATGAATTTAATATTTTCATATCAGAACAACATTAGGTGTGGGTGTAGCAAATTTTCAACTTTGTCCGACACATCGGACGGGCGGTGTTGTATCAGAACACCATACTTGTCAGAGGAGCATACTTGCAGATAATGCACATGTGCGCGCATGCGCATTACTCGACAACTCCGGCACGTTCTACAGAGGCATCAGATGAGCATACGCACTAGAAATGATCGGCGAAAAAGTGAAACTACGAGTAAAATGTAAGTAATTCATTTATATTCTTTAATGTTAACACATTAATTGATATATTTTGCACTTTAGTCACAGTTTTCAGTGTGCAGTGCATTTTTTTGACTGCCAATTTCTGCACGTAATGTAATCGCTGATGAAACAACTAAACTTTGATGCCTGAACGTCATGTAATTGGCTATGAAACATATTAATAGTAACAAGAAGTAAAAAAACAATACAAGAACAACAATTATACAGTCCGTGAGGAAATTAAAGTCAGCATTTTAAAGACGAAAAGGGCTATTTTAATAGATTCATATAATATGAACCAAGGGCGTCCGTTTGTTTTCAGAATTGCTGGGGACAATAACCATACACTTGAGTGGGGTTTAAAAATTGCTGGGGACAATAAAGTAGGCTAGCACAGGGGTCGGCGGCTCTGGAGCCGCATGCGGCTCTTCCATCCATCTGATGCGGCTCTCTGTGCTTGTAAAATAATGAATGGATATTTAAATAAAATGCTTTATATTTTACTGCATTAATTTTACATCTGTATGCCAATTCTAAATGTAAAGATTGTCTGCGTAAACCTGAACAGGTCCAACCCGGTCTTACTGTGAGACCGGGTTGACGCGTCACGCTTGTGCGTAATCATAGGCGCTTCCTGAGCTGGAGGATGTCAGATTCTGGGCTTCTCTTCAGACAGATTCCTGGATGCGTCGCCACATTGGAGACAGGAACAAGCACTATTCAGCCAAAGTTTCATAATCAGGTGTGGCAGTGTGTGTCCTGTCACAGTGTCCCGATAGATCATGCGCCCTGGCTACATGGCCAAGGGGTTGTCCCTTTGGCTGACTGGTTAGAGCGTATGACTCTCCCCCGGGAGTCTGGGGATCGAATCCCGCCCGGGCCCTGTATCTTCATCTTGCCACATTTTGACGGATAAACTCAAGGATGTTGGTTGTTTTGAAAGAATTACCCCGACGCACACTGATGCGCATGGATGAGCTGACATTTTAATCGTTAACGCACATCGCGGAGGTAACTTGATTCCCATCAGAACATCAGAGCTTTATACTGGACACTGTGTTCAGCGCGGCTCGGAGCATCCACGGTGGACAGTGGGCTGAAGATCTGTAGAGGGGTTCGCAGCGCAGCGCAGAACCACTGTGCATGTAATAAGATTTCCTCCCACTGAAGCGGTCTACCCGGTCTCTCTGAGGGATGTGTCACTTGGAAAAATGCTCTTTTTATGAAATTATGAAACTTTGGCTGAACAGCGCTTGTTCCCATCTCTAATATGGAGACGCATGACGCATCCAGTCTGAGGCAGAATAGCTCTTCACCTCAGAAAGCACCTGTAGAGACATTTGATTACGCACAAAGTTTATGTGGAGCAGAAGCGGTCGGGCCACGGCAGGTGAAATGTTCCTAGCCTACATGAAGTGTAACATTAATATGTTGCTGGACACGCTGGTCTGGTTGGTTAGACCAGTGTTTGAAGTGGAAAACACACACACACACACACACACACACACCAATTAAAATAATGCTGATAGCGTGGACTAGAAGACAGGTGATGGTTTACGTATTTAAATGATGATCAGGCTGCTGTAAAATGTAATCTCCATCCACATCCAGACAGAATGATCCTCTATTCTTTCTCTATTTGCTCTGCTCTTGTCTGGGCTGATCAGCTGACGGTGCGCGCGGCGCGCCTAACTAGCGGCTGATGCACATTTTATGCATTTGGAGAGGTGGTCTGGATGCTTTGCTTTCACTGGAAGATGGTCCACTTAACGCACGGGTGTAGACTACATATTAATGACAAATGAATGAAAATTAAATTGGGAGTTTTTACTTCATATTTTAGAAATAAAAATGACGGGGGAACACATTTATGACGTCTTTTTAAACTAAATTTTCTAGCACGTCCTGCCTGCTTCACTTAAGTCACTGCTTATTAAGGTCCGTCCAAAATTACCGTGGCCCACCCAAAAATGAAAACCTGGCACCGCGCCTGTTATAAACCTCTGCAAATTGTTGTTCTTCACTTTATCAAACTCAGACTTTGTACAGCTAATGTCAAGATGTAAAATTATGAATTCAGTCGAGCTCTTCCGTCCCTCCCTCTCCTGCTCTCCTGGAAACCCGACATCGGCTGTCAGAAGTGGGAGGTGAAGAAGGAGATGAGGCAAACAGAGTGAGTGCGACCTAAAGAAACCAGACTGGTGTGGAGGTGAGCAAAACAGCTGGAAAAGTGTGGGTGTTGAATCCCCCACGGGTGCGACGCCCATGCGAGCGACCGGTACCTGCTGCTGTCACCTGGTTGTGAGCAGCTCTCTGCTGTCTGAGGGTAGGCCCCGCCCACAACGCTGCGGCCGCTGTGGCTCCCAGTGTTTTCATTACTGTGGGAAACGGGTAATAATGGCTCTTTGATGGGAACAGGTTGCCGACCCCTGAATAAGATCTGAGCTGGTAAAACAAAAATCCTCATCAGCAGGCATTTTTTAAAGTGGGAGGGACACAGCTGCCAATCACAAATTTTGCCGGGGACATGTCCCCGGTTAAAATGACGCCTATGATATGAACACATTTCTAATTCTGTGTTCCTCCTGAAAAAGTTTTGTTTTTGACTAGAAATATGATGAAATAATTGACGTTTTTGACTAGTTTTATTTGAACATGTCTGACTACTGTGTTAGTGAGTTTTGTATACTTTTTTTTCTGCTTACTTAAACTATTTTGCTACTTGTTTAAAAACGCAGGAATGTGATTCAAAATTACAAACCAGGAAGCAGAAAAAAATGTAGACGTAAACCAACACATAAAAAGATTTGTCTCTGTTAAAGTGAAACATGTTAAAAACCATATTTCTTTTATGTATCTACCCATAAATCA